TGTTATGTCTCTAACATAGTACTTTGTTTTATTAACAATGCTTATAAATTTTGCAGTAGAAAATGGCATTTGCCAACTAAAAATATAAAAATAATATGTATTCTAGTTTACGATCTGTGCTAATTAAATTTCAGGTATTAGATGAACAATCTGGAAGAAATGATTCAGTTATTGATTGTGGACATTGCCCTATGAAAAACTGACCATGCCACTTAATCTCATGGGGACAAAGTTCCCTCATTTGTGGCCGGCGCCGCGGCTCACTAGGCTAATCCTCCGCCTAGCGGCGCCGGCACACCGGGTTCTAGTCCCGGTCGGGGCGCCGGATTCTGTCCCGGTTGCCCCTCTTCCAGGCCAGCCCTCTGCTGTGGCCAGGGAGTGCAGTGGAGGATGGCCCAGGTGCTTGGGCCCTGCACCCCATGGGAGACCAGGAAAAGCACCTGGCTCCTGGCTCCTGCCATCGGATCAGCGCGGTGCGCCGGCCGCAGCGCGCCGGCCGCGGCGGCCATTGGAGGGTGAACCAACGGCAAAAGGAAGACCTTTCTCTCTGTCTCTCTCTCTCTCACTGTCCACTCTGCCTGTCAAAAAAAAAAAAAAAAAAAAAAAAAAAAGTTCCCTCATTTGTAATCACAAAGGAGGGCAGGATAGTGTAATCTCCAGGCCCTTTTAATCATAATTTGTTCATGATTTCATGATTTTATATTTTTATTACTAAAGTAAGAGAGATACATGAGATGAAGGTTAATATAGGTTAAATTTCATAAAATAAAGGCAGGTTTTATGGCACAGCAGGTTAAGCATCCGCTTGGAATTTCCAGATCCCACCAAAGAGTGCCAGTATGAATTCAGGCTACTCCACACATCCAATTCGTTTTCCCACTAATGTTTCTTGGAGACAACAGATGGCTGGCCAAAGCATCTGGTCTTTCAATAACCATAGGGAAAACCAGATAGAGTTCCCAGCTCCTGGCTTTGGCTTGGCCCAAGCACGTCGCAGGCATTAAGGTACTAAAACAGTAGATAGGCGATCTCTATCTCTGTCTCTCCCCTTCTCTGTTAGCCTGCCTTTCAAGTAAGTAAGTAAATAAAGCTTTTAAAAATAATATATAAAATACATGCTAATTTCCTTAAACAAAACCTAGGTATCTTTCTGAAGTGTCCATATTTGATTCTTAGCCACATACGACCAGTCCTAGAGCCATTTTGTGCCAGACTTTTTATTCTACTCTCAATAAGAAAACTGGATGGGAAGAGCTGGTTCAATGAGCAGAAAGGATGGTGCACAGTTCTTGGAATCTTGATAGACTGTGCGACCAGAGCCTAAGAAGCAGAGGCTATGCCAGTTCCCTGATGCTATAGAAGTTCTGCTCTGATCCCCTTTCCTTTCACAGAATTTCAGCATACATTGTTTCACGCACAAACCATGCCACATAGCAATTGGATAGTATCCTTTTTTGTAAAAAAAAAAAAAAAAAAAAAAGCCAGTTGGCATCTCACTGAACTACTGCCCAAATTTCTGTATGTAATCACACACATAAATATATACTGCAACCTTAGAATATAGTCCTATGTTACTGGGTCTAGAAAAACCTAAAATATGTATTATTATTATTATAGAAGAGCTGAAAACACTCAAGTTCTAAATTCCTATTCGCCTTCAGGATATATCTGCTTTAGTTTTTAGGTCTCTTAATACTTAATTTTCTCATAATTATACAGTGCACTAATTCCAAAACAGTCTATCTTATGTAGAGTTTTGTTATACATTCCAGTTACAGGAAACATTTACTAAATATGCATTTGGCTTTGGAGTATAGGGGAAATTTTTTAAAGATTTATTTAATTATTTGAAAGACAGAGTTACACAGAGAGAGGAGAGGCAGGGAGTGAGAGGACTTCCATTCAATGGTTCACTTCTCAGATGGCTGCAACAGCCAGAGCTGTGCCGATCCAAAGCCAGGAGCTTCTTCTGGGTCTCCCACACAGATGCAGGGGCCCAAGGACTTGGGCTGTCTTCTACTGCTTTCCCAGGCCATAGCAGAGAGCTGGACTGGAAGTGGAACAGCTGGGTCTTGAACCGGCGCCCACATGGAATACTGGAACTGCAGATCAGGGCATTAACCCGCTGCACCACAACGCTGGCCCCTAGGGGAAAATCCTAAAACCTATTCTAGAAAGACTGGCTTTCTACCAATCTTATGCTCATTCTCCAGCATGAAATAAAAAGAAGACAAAAACAGAGAAAGTCAAAGGCAAACTGCATGAAAAATGTAATCTTGAATTTGCACACATCCCATGTGCTGACACACAGTTAATTAGTATTTGATTACTTGGCTTTATATTTAGCAACAGTGTCGTTAAGAAAATGCAGAGACCATGTGAATGATCCTGAGCAGACATATCCACTAGTAAACAGGAGAAGCAAATAACAGATAGTCTAGATAATTGGTAGTACGTGCCATAGTTATTAAAAATATCAAAATATTTGTTTCCAATCTCTACCCTTAGATATGATATGTTCCTAGAGCATTATTGTGAAGTTCTTGTGGAGAGTTTTGCAAGCATCTGGGCTGAAAGTGGAATTTGTTATTGTCAAATAATCAGCTCAGTCACTTCAGGGTGAAGCAGTGTATTGTGAAGATAACTTGAGACTCACATTGACAATACTGGATATGATTGTTTCTTAGCAAATCACTCTTTGTTGTATTTTGTAAAATCCATCTGATGTTACAAAATTTCAGGATGAAATATTCATAGAATCTAATTCAGAATCATTGAGGTAATTCAAGATGATCAGTGTAAAAATACCTGGTAAAGAATCTGTCATGCCTACCATCTGTGTTACCAATATATGTTAACTCTTGTTACTAGCATCAGGAACATTAAAGCATAAACTCTATATCTGATTTATATTTGAAATAACTATTATTTCTAGAAAGCTTTTTAGTATTTTAAGCAATCATTAGGAAACATCTTATTTGCCATAAGGCTAATTAACAAAGGGAGTTAGGGAGGAGGGTGGTGTAATGTTTGAGTGCAGGAATAGCGAGTATGCTTCATGTAGGTAGGGACTCAAGTAGGAAGAGAAATTTACTATGCAAGAAACATGTAGGCTACCTATGTTAGTGGGTCCTATTGATGTTTGAACAGAATTACCACACACAACATGGATTTATCAATTCATATTTTCTGCGAGCAAAAGTCCAGACGTGCCATGCCCTTTGTTCAACATCTCACAGGCTACAATGAAATGATGGGCAAGAATGCAATTTCATCTGACTTCAGGGTATGCATCCAAGCTTATACTGGTTACTGATTGAATTAATTTCCTTAAGGCCAAATAACAGGTTACTTTTTCTAGAAATTGTTGGCTGAGGACCTATCTCAATTCCTATAGACTAATCACATCCCTGCCAGCTGACCTCCTCCTTAGGTCCCTCACAATATGGCTGTGACCTCTTCTCAATCAACGGGAGATCAGCTCTCTAATGCTTCTCTCCACCTCTCATTCCATGAATTCACCTGATCAGATCATGCCCCACCAGGATAGACTCCCTTTTGATGACACAAAGGCAAATAATTATTAACTTAATCACAGGGGTGAGATTCAAAAATACACATAGATTCTCCCTATAACAAAGAAGAGAGGATCGTAAAAGCTATATTATTAGGGAACAGGATCTAGAAGGCCATCTTTGAATTAAGACTACCATACTACTCCACATTTTTCCTGATTGAGATTTCAATAAAGTCCTTCCTGTCACCTTTGGAAAAGCCTTTCAAGAAAAATCTTATACTAGGGTTTAAACTACACAAAAAACACATTTCACAAGCACTTAATCCAGGGACTGAACTCGCCGTAATTCTAATCTATGCCATTAGAAATGTACCAATGATCAGTTTATTGTCAGTAAGCTCCAAATTCTATCTTCATTCCCTGCTCTGCTAAAATGGAGTTTGATCCTTTAAATATTTCCCCTTTGCCATATGGAATAATGCCATGCTTATTCATCAGAGGACACTGGAGAGACACTGCAGGAGAGAAGGTTTTTCTCCTCATTCTGATGCTTCCTTACTAGGTCCATGAAGCAGATGATCCTTTCAGCACCAATCTCTTGCAGCATGTGGTCTTCCAGATTATTGTCATTGCAGTGAGCAGCTTGGTTCCTGCAGTGTGTGTGGGTCTTAGGTACCCAACAGCCAGAAAATTCTTCCAGTACCCCTCAGATGGGTTTTCAAAAAGTGCTTCTGGTCATCACTCCCTCAGTTTCCTTGCAAATAACTTCAGAGGTATGGGAGATTTCCAAATTTCTCAGCATTCCCCAGGGCAGATTTCTATCGAGTTGTACCAGCAAAGCACTTGTAAAACTTCCGCACCACTATCCAGGGAGCCACAGGCACAATGATCAATATTTGTCTAGAGCTCAGCCATGGGAGAGAATAGTCATTCGTTGAATGATTTATTTCATTATTTCATTCATGACTTTAATACCTGATGTTGTGTTCAAATAAAAAAAATCAATACATAAATTTCCATGTGTTGGGAGTTTGTAAGGTCAGCCACAAGATCACTTATTAGGAAAACAAACAAAATAGTTTCTGTAAGTAAAAGTAGAAAATGCTTTGATTTTATTCTAACAAATATGCTCCTATTTTCCATAAGCAATAATTCTCTGAGAGACTTCTGCATCCATGGTTTTATTTATTAGCCCATAGCAGGAAAATACTACCTATATTTTACTTGGGTGAAAGGAAATTATAATCATAATTAAAAAATACAAATTTAGGAATTCAGTAATTCCTTATTTACTACTTTTGTTTTATTATGAAGATACACTCAAAATAATTTACATTCTTCTAAAAATACCCCTGTATCACAGTACAAAAGCAATAAATGTATCTCATTTTACTTCGCTAGGTAAAATGAATTTAATTTTCTATTAGCTTTGCAGCATCAACACAGAGAAGAAATTAATAGCTTAAGTTTCCCTACCCTTAATCATTCCCCGGGCAGGAATCAGAAGAGAATAGTTAGTTGATCCAGGTTTTTAACACTTAATATACAATTCTTTTACTCATCAGAGCTTCTGATAATAAACTGTGGAAGCCAACAGCTGTCCTCCAGTCACATTTCTCTGAGGTTTTCCCGTGGAATGATAGTTCCTCGAGACTGTTGGTGAGGAGCTGTGCGCCTCCTTCCCCAAGATGGCGACCGCGAAGGACGGTTGTGGCATAGCAGTGGCCGCCGGGAAGGGGCAGCGGCCTCACCTGGGGATTCCTGCGGCGGCGTTTGTGGAAGATGTAGATTCCTTAATGAAGCAGCCTGGAAACGAGACCGCCGATACAGTACTAAAGAAGCTGGATGAACAGTACCAAAAGTATAAATTTATGGACCTCAACCTTGCTCAAAAGAAAAGAAGGCTAAAGAGTCAGATTCCTGATATTAAGCAGACTTTGGAAATCTTAAAATACATGCAGAAGAAAAAAGAGTCGGCCAATTCGCTGGAGACCAGATTCTTACTGGCAGATAACCTGTACGGCAAAGCTTGGATCCTTCCTACTGATAAAGTGTGTCTGTGGTTGGGGGCTAATGTGATGCTTGAATATGATATTGATGAAGCTGAGGCACTGCTGGAAAACAGTTTATCGACTGCTACAAAGAATCTCGATACTCTCGAGGAAGACCTTGACTTTCTTCGCGATCAGTTTACTACCACTGAAGTCAATATGGCCAGGGTTTACAACTGGGATATACAAAGAAGAAACAAAGCTGATTCTACCAAGAGCAAAGCATAATGCTGGTGATTTAAAAAACTGATTCAGTTTTTCAGACATACTATTTTGACTGTCTCAGTGTTTATTCTTAAATATTGACATAATTTTGAATGATTTTTGAAGAATATAAACATTTATAAAAGCAAAATTGATTTCAAATATTTATGAAATTAGCATTTTTCTGATTTCCCAGCAAAGTTCATACTACTTTTTTTTTTTTTGTCTGTCACTAGAAAACTCTTAGCTGAAATGGCCAAAAACTTTCAGATATGATGGAAGCTGAATGCTGGAACCAATACAGTGAACTTATTCTTTATTAACTGATGTTATACTCATTGTGGTTAAAATATTTTAGAGGTAGGAAAGACAGACAGTTTGAATATCCATAAACTTGTTCTTCTTTAGGAGATGGGAGATGTGAATGTATTGTGTACGAGTCGTCTTCTGTAAGGGGGGGTTTGTGAATTATTGCTTAACTACTCTCTAATATAATATTCTAAAATGTTCAGGCAATAGTAATTTGCCTTTCTACACAGTAAGATGGCTACTGAGACATCACTTTCTACAACCCCAAATAAGTACACAGTGTCTCTGTAATGTGAAAGAGAATATCAGGATATCATAGCCAGCATTCTCGGCTAAGTTGATTTCCTATTTCTTGACAGTTCTCTAAAGCATCTTGAATATAAATATTATGATAAATGTAAATCTACAAAAATTGTAGAGTTGTGAGCTTTTTAATTTGTGATTTAGAACACTTCATAGTCATATAAATAAACCTCTGTGGGAAAACCCATGTCAAGTATCGGGTAATACAGATTCTGGTGAAAATATTCACGTATTATTCCATTTCTGTAGAGTAAAAAGTATACTTTTATAACATTTCACACTTATATGTGATGCTATTAAAACACTGATGTTAAAATTTAAAAATAAAAAGAAGACTATTACTAAAAATGAAGTCACAAAGATTGTAAAATCTAGGTAAAAATTAAATAGGTATCTTTACTACAATATTTTCTTTCTTTTTTATATATTAGAAAGGTAGATTTACAGAAAGGGAGAGACAGAGAGAGTGAGACAGAATAATCTTCCATCTACTGGCTTACTCTCCAAATGGCCACCATGGCCAGGGCTGGGCCAGGCCAAAGCCAGGACCCAGGAATTTCCTCTGGCTCTTCCACATGGGGACAGGGGGCCAAGCACTTGGGTTATACTCTGCTGCTTTCCTAGGCCCATTAGTAGGGAGCTGGATTGGAAGTGGAGAAGCTGGTATACAAACTGGTGCCCATATGGGATGGCAGCCCTGCAGGTGCCAGCTTTATCCACTATGCCACAGCACCAGCCCCTAGATTTTATTTCTTAATACTTATTTTATTTTTATTAACTTTAAAGACATAGGGAGAGACAGAAAGAGAGAGGGAGGGAGGGAGACGGAGATAGTCTGCTCACTGATTCACTCAAAGGCCCACAAAAATCAGGGTAAATCAAACCAACTCTGAGGCCCAATACACCATCCAGGGATCCCACATGGGTAGATAAGCAATGACTGAACACAGATCAGAACTGGAGGAGCCATGATGCAATCTGGCAATCCACGATGGGACACTGAGCCACACAACTCCTGATTTTTAGTAGCTTTAATGAGGCGAATCACTTTTAGGAAATGTGGACAGAGAGAAATAAAATGCAGTATTTACCAAACTTGTTTGAATGAGAAACCCAACTTTGATAGTACACATGCTAAACACTGATATCTCTGCCCAATTTATTCTTTAATATAAGTAAACTGAGTTTTGAAAAAGTGACCCTTTCATTGTCACATATGTACTACTGGAGAATTCTAGAATTAAATTCCAAATCTGCTTAGAAGCACAAATGTTTCACATCAACAACTGTTCTCTACCCATTTACTTCCAGGTTGAAAATATTTCCTATTATCAAATTTTAAATTTCTATATAAAATTATGATAGAAAAAAGTATTTCCACATTTTTACTTTGCAATACTTTAGACTTGGTAGTAACAAGAAAAAAATGATATTTCATTTTTTAATTGTGAAAATTGTTCTCTTTTATCTTTGCTTCTTTTGTCTGGCTATTGTATCTTTTTCTTCCTACCACACCCAATGGCTGCCAAGACAATATTTTCTGTGGTGTATGTATTTCTTCACATTATCTAAGATCCAATATACTAATACTGTCCTATGATTTGTGTCATGGGTTCTGTCTATGTTTAATGTGTCACCTTGGCCTTCATGTGCTCACATGCTCCAAATACTGCATGAAATATTTTTGCCTAACATCTTTATTAGATTCCATATAAAAGGCTTATTTAATATACACAACCTTATTAAAGCAGGTGATAATAGAGTTGACAACTTATAAAGCAGGAAAATAAGATTTAAAATGTCTAAGTAGCTTGCCCAAAGGTGCACTACTAATTAGTCAAGTTAAATTCAACAGTGGCAGTAGAAATTCAAGTCTACTCACTTAACCTCTTGACTATGTCATTCACTTGCCTTTGATCTCTCCCAGCAAATAAATGTTAAGCTGCTGGTCAAAGTAGGATGGCATTTTGATATAGTCACAAAGAAAATAGTTATTTCCACATTGATACTTTATTCACCTTTCCGCAGAGATTCATTCTCTTCTACTCTTCCTCATCTTGCACTTTGCTTCCTACAAAGCATCGTTTTAATCTTGTCTCTCACAGACTTCACACAAAGATAAAGATTGTGGGTGACATTCATAAACTTCTCTATGCATTGTGAATGATCACATGAACTTCAATATTCAACTACATAATTGGTAAATAGGACAGTTTTCACTTTTACTTAATGGCCCACCAGCACAAAGGAAAAAAAAAAAAACATTTGATTATGAGGATAATAGCTCTTTCATGCAAACAAGATTACAACCATATTGTAATAGTAAAAAAGATTCTAATGCATAATTTGGCTTTTAAGAAAAGACGATTATTATTTGTATCAATTTATACAGGGCCTTCAAATTTAAAATGTGTTTATTACTTCGAATAGTTGAATGAGTCCATGCTGGTTATTCTCAGAATTTAAGAAGGACCAGTAGTAGGTAATGAGTAATTGTTAGGGATAAAAAATAGTTTTGAACTATTTAATCATAATATGAATTAAAAATCAGAGGAAAAAATTATCTATGATAAAAGGATTATCTTTTTACTCTTTTCAAAAGACATATCCCTTATTTTATATTTCTAGTCAGCTAATGAAGCCCTCTTTGATTTAATTGCAAGAAAAAAATTTTAATGAATTTTAGAAGTGTACATGTTTTACTTTAATACGGTAAAGACCCAAGAGATAAATAATTCTAATTTAAATATTTCATTGTAAAAGATGAAAAGAAAATAAAAGAATATGAAATAAACAAAGGAAAATAATCAAGCATTCTTCCAGTACAACACTGAAGAGTTTCTTGCATAAGAAAAAATAATTACTAGAATAAGATGTTGGTTTTGTTTTTAATTCAACTAAAGATAAGAATATAAACAACAGAATATCCTTCTCAACAAGCATAAAACAAAGAGAGGAAAATAAGCAAATAACCTCAATATATTTCAGATGTTTACTTCCTTCTATCATAGTTAAACCAGAAAACAAAAATAAAATTTACATTAATATTTATAGACAATGTGTTCAATCTGAATACAAATGTCAATATTCTACATATAATTTTAGAAATATCGGTAGGTTCTATGTCAAACTCTAAGATAATTGCTTCTGAGAGAGAAACCATTTAATCTACTTAAAGCTTAGTTCTGTAGCAATGAAACAAAGCTTAATGGTGGAAAACAATATATTCCTTAAATTTTTTAGTAGTTCTGAAAGCTGCAGCCAGAAAAATCACTATGATTTAATTTGTTAGCTCAGTCTTCCCAGGTTCTTCCATCGTAATGTACTATATCTTGAAATGATCCACCCCTTGCTGCCACTGATAAATTTTCCTAATTCAACAAACTAAAATATAAACATTATATGATTGACTAATCTATGTTCCTAAAGCTATCAAGAATCACTGGAGACTCAAAAACAGTCAGCAGTATTTCCCACTTTCAAAGTTACCACGTAACAGTTACAAATAATAAAATCCAAATTAACATAGCAATTAATGCAGAAGACAGCAAGTAACCAAGAATTAAAGTTAGCGGCAAAGACAAATGTTAGAAAAGTTTGGAAAGCACAAGCACAGGTGTGTTAAGGTCACATTTCTAGAGATTCATTGGCATGTGTTCCTCCTGCCTGATTACCTACCCCTAAACCACAGGTGATTGGCATGTCAGGCTTTCTGATGTCACTCTCAATGCATTTCAACAAGCTGCTCTAGTTTTAGCTTATAAAAATGTTGAGAGGTCATTTTTCTTGAAAATTCTACATTACCTGTTACCTTGGACAATTGATCTGTGTGAGTAGCTCAGTAAAAACAAAACAAGGCCTGTCCTCCTTTTTTGGAATTTACCAACAACAGGATTGTGCTCCAACCTACAAGTGGGCCAAAAGGAATGAGTCTTTTCTGGAGCATACTTACAAAATGCTCATGTTCCAGCATATATATTTATCATCCCTCCTATTCTGTTTTGTCTGATCCTATAGTTGTTTGAATTTAAAAATATATCAGTAAAAAATGATAAACAGTAGAAAGCTACTTGTCAAAAAATCATATATAAATTGTCTTAATATATTATATATTTGTATATTATATATATTATATTATTACTCATTATATATATATATTACTCTCTCTATATATATATAAACAACTGAAGATTCTTCCACAAAATTAGAATTATTTTGGTTCTGACTTTATCATCATTGCTAATGATGCTGCTGTGTTATGAAATGTCAGAAAGAAATATTTTGAGAAAAATTATATTCCCAAATCAAATTATATTCTTATCTTTCCAAACTGATGTATGGACATGTAGCTGGATGCAAACAGCAGTAGAAATAAATAATCATATTTCTTAAATCTCATTTTGAGAAAATAAGTTAATAAATTATCTGAATAACATGGGAGGTCCATGTGTGATATCATGAAGTTACCCCCAAGAATCTGAAGCTTAAACAATGCTCTGAACAAAATGGATTTCAGACAATCAATTAATCACAGGCCAAAGAATTCATCA